TATTTACTTAAAAAAAAATGTTTTACTGGTATCTGAACTAGTATACTTGACCAGTACTTAGAATTTGTAAGTGTTCATTTTTAAGTTACTATTTAAGAGATTCATAAATACATTATACTTAAATTGAAATAACTAATGATGCAGTACATAGTGTAGAGACTAGTCTGACTGCATAGATGTGTGCATATAATCTATCCTGGTCAGAGATAAAATTTTGAGCCGCGTCATGACAAAACCAACATAGTGCGTTTGCGACCAGCATGGATCCAGACCAGCCTGCGCATCCGCGCAGTCTGATCAGGATCAACCAACCGTATTACAAGTAGAGAAACTGATAGCAAACAGCATGGATCCTGATCAGACTGCGCGGATGCCCAGGCTGGTCTGGATCCATGCTGATCGCAAACACACTATGTTGGTTTTGTCATGACGCGGCTCATTAATCATTTTTGCTACTAGTGTTCAGAGAGTTAAGCATATATATAGTCAATATCAACCTTTAAATGACAGCATAACAAACATAGCTCCATCATAATGAACATTTTAAAACATATAAATGATTTCAAAGTTCAGAAACATAAAAGATTATAATAGTTATGATTGGGGCATTATTCATTTTGAAATATAAAATACCTCACTAAGTCATGAACCTTGTCAAATGCTATTAAAATGAGGTTGAGAAACTAGTCTTAAAAGTTTGAAGCAACTTAAATCTTTACATAGTAATTATATTCATCATAATACTTAAGCAGAGAGAGAGTAAAACTTATGTTGCTTCACAAAAAAATGGAACAAATTATGAAACATCTCAACATCTGAGGAGAAAAATAAGAAGTATGGAAGGCAGCTCTCTATATACAGTAAAACTTGTGTTAAAGACAACCTCCAAATAATGACCAATCTAAATAAAGGTTGTTTTTTCCATAAAATTCCAGTGATCAGATAGACAGGGTTACCTCTAAATAAAGACCACTTGCCTATAAGGGCCATGTTCCATCTCTCCTTTGGGTGACCTTTGTTCACAAGTTTGACTGTACATTGAAGATTTATATCTATAAAATTCAATCAATGGTATCACCTAAATAAGGAATGCCTTGGACTTAAACCAGTTAGTACTTTAGACCTTGTAAGTACACACATAATTGAAATACCATTAAAGTTATTTGTAATTCCTCGCCAATTTTCTTTTATGATCAGCCACAAAAATTTCAATACAGTCTTCCAATATTTATAAAAATATACACCAGAATTAGGTTAATTCCACTGCTACATTATGTTGAATAGATTTTATAACAAATCTTGATCTTACATACAGCATTTTAATGTTAGTTTATTGAATTTCAAATTTGCATTGTATATTTGTGGGTCATAAAAATAGTAGAATATTTTCATACAAAAAGAAATCAGAACTAAAGAAATAGAGAATACTTTTTTTGCAAAATAAGTTGCTCTTACTTTTATTTTAACTCACTTATGATGAAGTATCAACATAGAACTCATAATAGTTATTTCTTACTAAGCACTAACTTGACAAAATATCAATATCTTTGAAAGTTAAGTCATTTCTATAGATTATATTAGCCAAAATTAAAAGATGGGTTTAAGCTTATCTTAGAACCACCCTCTTACTTTGAATCCTGGCAACTACTTAGAGCTGGTAACATTTTATGGATGTGGTTGTAACCCTTATTAGGCTAAAAAACCTATAATCCATAGCTTGTGATTTAATCTAGTATATTAAATTTATTGTAATGATAATAAATAAGATTCAGTTTTTGCTTTGTTTAAACCTGTTTCAATTTAGCTTAATTGTGTGTCACACTAACAATGTTTATCATATTGCAACTTTTCATAGATGATCAAACCTTTTTTCAGACCGGGAGGGTATATGAGTGGTTTAGTTTTTGCTTTGTTTAAATCTGTTTTTTTGTTTCACACTAAGAATGTAAGGATCATATGTAACTTTTCATAGATGATAAAACCTTTTTGTCAGGCAGGGGCGAGTATATGAGTGGTACCATCAACAGCCTATAAGACATGGCCTTCTTACATGACAGAGTTCTCAGGGAAAAGTATCGTAACCTACAGCTAGCAACCTTCAAGATAATGTATCATTCATTATCAAACCTTAAAAACTCTTATCATTTGTAAGATTTAACAATGATCTTGTGGAAAAACGTTCATTTTTAGCTTAATAATGTACAAGTATGTGTCAGGTATTCTAATTTTGCATATTCTTTGAGCTTTTATCCGGTTAAATAACCAATACAAATAAAAAAAACTGAACTTGATTTCTTTCCGGATAATATACATTTTTAAAGGTTATACTACAATGGGTAATTTGTACTACATGTTACCGAAATAGTTTTATCTCTTACATGAATGTTTTCATACTTGTATAATATTATACAATTTTATAACGTGCTACAAACATTCATACAGGTAAATCTTGTCTTACGCATGTATTGTCAAACATGTAAGGATATTGTTTATAACAAGTTGTTATAAATGATCAAAAGACAGGGAAAGTGTTAACTTAAAAGTTTCCATGTTTAAAAAACTGACAAATTGTTGTCATAGTGCAACAGTTAAAATTTAATACATACTTTTAATATCAGATCTTTTTATCCCTTTTAAGTTACTTAATTCATAAAAGGTGACATATTCATAGCTCAAACTATGTATTGCTTCCCCAACTGTAAATAACACCATTTTTGGACTTGTCGAGGCTCTTTTAACTCGTGACTTCGGCTAAGCTTCTCTGTTGAAAAGATTTAATTTTATCGTATTTAAGTCAGGTGTTTTTGCGCAAACTTTTTATAACAATGAAATTTGTGATGTAATTTTGAGTGGTTACATAAGTTCTCAAAGAATATTATGCAAGCAATGTCAATTTCTAACTTTTAAAATTTCACAACTTTAAAAATAGCCCACTTCCAAGGTCCATCATACTTTATCCCAAAAAAAAAAAATTAAAAATGAAAACTGAAATCTCATGTATACCAAATTCATACCATTTTTTACCTTTATTAACTACATATTGTAAAACAAGAGGGCCATGATGGCCCTGAGGTCGCTCACCTGTATATAGCCCCCCCCCCCTCCCCGGGCCAATTTTTACCCAAGGGCTTTTATTTGTTTATTTGAACAGACTTGGTAGACACCCATAAGAAGATGTTTCATGCTAAACATCTAAGTTCTAGCTCATTGGGTTTTTTAAAAGAAGATTTTTAAAGTTTTTACTATACACATATAGTTAAAAACAATGACACCCCTGGGGCAGGGCCAGTTTTGACCCCCGGCTTTTATTTGAACAAACTTTGTAGATATTTACTTAAAGATGTTTCATGCTTAATATCTAAACTCTAGCTCTTTGAGTTCTTTAAAAGAAGATTTTTTTAAGTTTTTACTATATGCATATAGGGAAAATCAATGACCCCCCTGGGGCAGTGCCAATTTTGACCCCGGGCTTTTATTTGAACAAACTTGGTAGACACCCATTAGAAGATGTTTCATGCTAAATATCTTAGCTCTAGCTCTTTAGGTTCTTTAAAAGAAGACTTTTTAAGTTTTTACTATATGCATATAGGGAAAATCTATGACCCCCTGGGGCGGGGTCAATTTTGACCCCAGGGCTTTTATTTGAACAAACTTGGTAGACATTCACTAGAAGATGTTTCATGCCAAATATCTAAGCTCTAGCTCTTATGGTTCTTTAAAAGAAGATTTTTTAAGTTTTTACTATATGCATATAGGGAAAATCAATGACCCCCGGGGTGGGCCAATTTTGACCCCAGGGCTTTTATTTGAACAAACTTGGTGGACACTCACTAGAAGATGTTTCATGCTTAATATCTTAGCTCTAGCTCTTTGGGTTCTTTAAAAGAAGATTTTTTAAGTTTTTACTATATGCATATAGGGAAAATCAATGACCCCCTGGGGCGGGGCCAATTTTGACCCAGGGCTTTTATTTGAACAAACTTGGTAGACATTCACTAGAAGATGTTTCATGCTAAATATCTAAGCTCTAGCTCTTACGGTTCTTTAAAAGAAGATTTTTTAAGTTTTTACTATAAGCATATAGGGAAAATCAATGACCCCCGGGGCGGGGCCAATTTTGACCCCAGGGCTTTTATTTGAACAAACTTGGTAGACACTCACTAGAAGATGTTTCATGCCAAATATCTTAGCTCTAGCTCTTTGGGTTCTTTAAAAGAAGATTTTTCAAGTTTTTACTATATGCATATAGGGAAAATCAATGACCCCCCGGGGCGGGGCCAATTTTGACCCCAGGGCTTTTATTTGAACAAACTTGGTAGACACTCACTAGAAGATGTTTCATGCCAAATATCTAAGCTCTAGCTCTTAGGGTTGTTTAAAAGAAGATATTTAAAGATTTTTCTTTCGGTTGCCATGGCAACCAGAGTTCTGCATGGAATTAAATTCTTTGAACAATTTTTAAAGGTGATCACCAAAGGAACATTCCTGTGAAGTTTGGATGAAATTGGCTCAGTGGTTTATGAGGAGATGTCATTTAAAGCAAAAATTTACGGACGGACGCCGGACGCCGGACGGACGACGGACGGACGGACGCCGGACGAAAAGCGATCACAAAAGCTCACCCTGTCACTTTGTGACAGGTGAGCTAAAAAGTTAATGCAATAAACACAGTATTCAAATATCTGCTAATTTATGATAATTTACCCTGTCACCAAATAACTAATAAATTATCAGATGTCACATATATTGATTATACAGTATAATTGAGCCGCGTCATGACAAAACCAACATAGTGCGTTTGTGACCAGCATGGATCCAGACCAGCCTGGGCATCCCAGCAGTCTGATCATGATCCATGCTGTTCGCTAACAAACCCTATTACAAGTAGAGAAACTGATAGCGAACAGCATGGATACTGATCAGACTGAGCTGATGTGCAGCCTGGTCTGGATCCATGCTGGTCGCAAACCCATTATGTTGGTTTTGTCATGACTCGGTTCATATAAACTCTACATGTCTTAGCCTAATGAATGCTGGAACCAAGATTTATAATATTTGCCACTTGAGTAGAGGCATGTCAGCCCCATATCACTGCAGTTTGACAAGGCTCTTTACTATCTGCTACATGTAACTTTAAATTTTCATCTAATATTAAATCTTGCAAGTAAATTAGATCTAATAAGTTCTTTCCTAAACTAATACATTGTGCGAACTATTTAAATCTAAACATATCTATGTAAAAAATAAAAAAAATGTTAGGTTTATTAAATTTCAATAAAAACTAGTCAGATCTCTAACCTAAGACACTTTGTACACTTTATAAACTTTAACAACTTGTAGTAGTAGCAAAATATATTACTAATGACTATGAGCATTCCGATCAACGGAGGTGTATATTAGTAAAATGTTTAATGAGAAATAAATGCATATTAATTTGAAATATTATTCAAATATGTAAGATATAACAAAATAACTATATAAACAAATATAAGGCACAGTTGAATTAGAATATGATTATAAATGCAGTGAAGAATGTATGCGTAAATAGAGAACAAGACGTCCTTGAAACCCCTCCCCCTCCCTTTCCCCTTTTCTTTTCGAGCATCCCTGCATAACCGTAGAAAAAAATGAAGCAAATTTTCTTGTGCACACAAACAGGGGCGGGCCAGGGATATAATCAAATCTGTATTAAAGGTATATCAGCAGAAGTAATATCTGAGTTTTGACCAAGGCTTGACTAGTCTATAGGTCGAATCCCTGCATTTCTCCTAAGGTTGTGCACAGGAAGGGAGGGGACACAAATGACTGGTTTCATACTAATGTTATACAACCTCATTTTAAACAGAATATTTCAAAGTCAAATCTAAACATACTATTAGTATTATTTTTATCTGAGTTTGTTTAGTCACAGAATAATGTTGCCTCCCCATGTATTGTTTCAGGGAGACAAACAAGGAATGAAAAAGAACCTTTAAAGGAACTCCACTACTGTATGGTCCAAAAGCCTTAAAAATTGAATTTGAATTCCTTACACAGATCAACAAGGGATCTTAAAACAGAAAGATATGCAAAAGATAAGCTTTGAAATAAATTGAAAATTATATTCTTGTGCTATTCTCAGTCTGATTTTGAGTGAAAACCGCTTTTTAATTTGGGTCATTTTTCACAATTATAATACTTAATTAATCTGGAAAAAGGGAGTCAGCAAATCAAAATCTGAAATTTAATGGTCCTACATCAAATGGAACATTACTTTCGTAAAATCATTTCCAGTCCTGATATGTCAAAAAAAAAACCTCAATGAAATCCCTTTAACCTGTCATAACCTACCTTAAATTAAAATAGCTTAAAAATGAATTCCAAATCCCTGGCAGAAGTGAGAGGCAAGTGATTGGTAATTATAAACATTAACTACTTGGCCCTAGAGACTTCAAATATCAAAATACAAATGTAAGACTTTAGAAATGTATATCTTATATAGATTCTACATTAATATATTACATGAGGAAGACTATTATTGTAGAGTCAAAAGAGGAAGGAAATTATCAATGGCAAGAAAATTTACCATACTAGTTAACTAAGATTTTCATAAAACAGTAGTGGGAACATATGACCTATCTGTAGCTATTGACTCATCACAACTAGTGTCATCAACATCATATACCTGCATTGGTATCATATACTTGGTTGGAGACACTCGTTCCGGAATATGGTAATCTCCTAATCCACTTTCAATATCTGTAAATGCTGAAACAGAAACCTCCGACCTGTCTGTAAATAACTGATCACCTTCATCAAGCTCTGTTATACTAATGTCATCCTCTATTACTTCCACAACATGAGCACTGGCTGCTGACAATGAAAGCTTGTCCATGTCTAAAACTACAGAGGTACCAGTCTGCTGATAACTTCCTGTTTGGACTGGTTCAGTATTTTTACCTGAAAAATCTAAAGGAGGCACCTTCACCTTTTTAAATTCCTCATTATCATTATAAACACCTTTTGAATCCATCTCTTGTGATTTTTTCAATTTCCTTAACTTTGGTTTTGATTTCGGACGGTTATGTTCATTATTTCTTTGTTCGTTGTTTTCTGACATTTCAACCTCAGAATTTCCTTTCCTATCTTTACTTATTGTTTTACCAACATTAATAAACATCTTTCTGTCAACTTTTTTCAGCAATGACTTTGTTTTGGGTCTAGCCCCTTTATCAGAATCAACAGATATTTTAATTTCTTCAGAATTATTAACATCATTATCTTTCACTTCCCTTAAAATTTCACTTGGTATTGCTATTTTTGTTTCTCTACATTGTTCAGCATTTGTAACAACAATACTTGGAATTAGTGGGACAGCCTTTCCAGGAATTGGTTTATTTGATTTTTTCTTCGAATGGCGGACAGATTTGTCACTTTTGTTTAACTGCCTTACATTTTGATCTTTGGTATTTGCTAATCCTAGTGTCGTTTCCATTGGCAACACAACAGGTGCTGCACCTTCCTTCCAAGGTGTAATGGACTGTTCCACTTCCTGAGAAACTACTTCTGTTGGAATATCATAATAATCCCATGTAGGGGTTTCAGGTCTCGAACCTGAATCTTTGTCTGATTTTTTACCACATTTTGTTGTTTGTTTTTTAGATTCCTCCACTTCTTTATTACTTTTTTTACCACTTTCAACAAGAACTTCACCTAAATCAGTATCATCAAAGTCAGTTATTTCTAGTTTAACATCTGACTTACCAACTAAATTAGTTTCAGTATTTCTTAAATTGTGCTCTTTAATATTTTCTAGTACTTGGACGGGCTTCATTTTCCTCAATGGATCGTGAACTTTTGGAATACCTACACTTTTCTCATGTAACCTTACAAAACTATTTTTATAACTGTCAGAATCTGGGCTTTCTAGCTCACCTTGCAATGATACATGAAACTCACTAGAATATCCACTCTCATCTAAGGGTGTTATATTCAAATCCAATTTAGGAACATTTGGCACAAATTCAAACTTTTGGTTCATATCTACTTCCACAGATGGAGAGTGATGTTTCCATGGTTGCAAATCTGGGTTACTAGCAGCTTTTTCAGATGAATCATCTGTATCCTCTGGAAGCACAATTCTCACATTTGGGCTACTAAAGAAGTAATTTCCACCTGGAGAATTATTCACAATGTCCAGTTCGGATGCACAATATACCTTCATGCTAGAAGGAATTGTGTGGTTCATACATGGAATTATTACTAATCTTTCCCTTTTCAATTTCTTCACGGCAGATTTTAACGACATACGTATCATTCCAATAAGGAAACTTCGGTGAGAGTAACGCTGTGTTACACATACCTCAATTTCTAGCTGTTTTTCTTTGACAACATCATGTGTTATTCCTGAGTATTCTAAAGGCTGACTAAACTTAAAGTTTGCAGGTGTAAATACATGTTTAACGCTAATATCTTTCTTCTTCTTCCAATGAATAGAACCTTTGGAGGAGTCCACTTTGACTTCTTCAGTTTTACGCTTTGTTTCACGTTTCTTGTCAGGCTGAAGGTAGCTCTTCACATAAATTGAATGAATCATTGAGGTATTTGCTGAAAATTAACAACAAAAAAACAAATCAACAAATTCAACAATATAACCATTGATAAAGAATCCCAGCAGAGTCATGAAATAAAACAAAATAACACATGTAATGGCAAAAACTTTAATAAGGGAGAACACAGTATGGGATGTATGAAAATGACATTACATAAAAATATATGTCCAGGACAGTTTTAGTTAATGATACATTTAACAGGGAAATAAAAATTTACAAAGTGGCCATCACAACAAGAATAAAGTTGCAAACTTACGAGGTGGAAGAAGTAGATCTGAGAGCTGCCATACACGTATTTTCAATGACCCCTTTGCTGCATGGTACTCCACAGACAGGTGAATATGACCTAACACTGATAAAAAGAAACATATTTTACTTAATTTAACAATTTGAAATACCTGATATCTTCCTTATAATTCACAAATAATTCAGAATAAATGCTGTAAATACAAATTTTATATGCTTTATGCTTAAATTGTAGAAAAACATAAAAATCTTCAGAATAAAATTTATGTGTGACTCTACTGAGAAAATATACCATAAACATATGGATTACTGACTCTGTTAATACCATTTCATCTGATCTCTGGGAAAGAAGCATTGACAATAAATAATTTACAAATTACCATTTTCCTAAATAAGCTTTTTCTCTGTTCAAATTCTGAAAATCCCCTCTCCCCTTACTCTGTTTATTATTAATCAACTGCAGCAAAGATGACTAAACATATTTTTTATTTGATATGAGAATCTTACTTTTTCTGGCTTGGGATTCCTATTTTGAAAATCCCAGTAAGAATACTGAATTATTTTAACACTTGCAACATTATTTAATTGTTTTCTTTACATACAAAAACACACAACTGGCAGGGATCTTTATCATTCATGCCACATAATGTAATCTTATGAAATGCACTGTGATAACTCCTAAGAAATATCTATAATTAATAAAGATGAATAAACAAAATTTGAGCCGCGTCACGACAAAACCCAACATAGTGCGTTTGCGACCAGCATGGATCCAGACCAGCCTGGGCATCCGCGCAGTCTGATCAGGATCCATGCTGTTCGCTGTCAGTTTCTCCACTTGTAAGAGTTGGTAAGTGAATAGTATTGATCCTGATCAGACTGCGCGGAGGCACAGGCTGGTCTGGATCCATGCTGGTCGCAAACCCACTTTTTTGGTTTTGTCGTGATGTGGCCATTAATATACCTGGACCATCTTCTTGCTCAGAAATGACTGATGATCTTCTACTGGAAGATAAAGATGTTAGGTCATGTGACCGGTCGGTTGAGATTCCTTCATCTTTATCATCATCAGGGTTTAACATTAAATCCTTCATTTCTGAAACAAAGCAATATCAAAACATAAATAGTGAAAATGCTTCAAATTTGAATTCCCAAGCTGCTTTAATGTTTTACTCTATTGTCTGTTACAGTTACCATGATTTTTTAAAAAATCAAGAGTTTACAGTAGGATAATGTGTTTGACTAGATAGTAAAACAAGAGCCTGAATAATGTAGAAATTATTATATTAAAAAAGGGCCATAATTCTGTCAAAATCCATTAAAGGGAGACACAGGCAAAATTTTCATATTTTAGATTTTAATTTTCTATCCAATATTCTATAAATGTCATCGAAATGAATAGACTAAGCAGTCTAGGGAACAAAATTTTTCTCCATATAAAGAAAAAAATGTTGGTTTCCTAACCTGACCCACGCGGGTCAGGTTAGAGCATTTAGATTTCACCATAGTTATCACCGTGAACTATAAAAACGTAAAAGAACCTGTCAAATGAGCGACTTAGGCTTGTTTTAATCTTACAATATCCACAATATTTGTTTTTTTTAACTTCTAGGGATTGTAATTGTCAAATGACTTGTTTTAAAACTACTCGTTAGTTCTGTCTGCGTCGTCATTTCGTTCAACATATGTAGACTTATTTACGTTTTAAACTCACATTATAAAGTATTTATACAGAAAAAAAACATGCTGGGACTTTTAATCACTTTTAAAAACTTCATTTTAGCGTAAGTTAAGTAAATATGGTAAATTTAATATTTTGTCATATATTTGCCTGAGTATCCCTTTAATAGTTATCGAAAGCAAAAAATTAACCAATGCAAACACTGAAGCCTGGGTGAGTTTAATATCTCTTCTTTTTCTTCAAATAGTAGGGCTTATAACAACTTTTATTATAATAATACCTTATACAAGGTGTGAAATATAAAAAATAAATCAATATGTGCACATATTTTTTTATATTGAAAAAAATTACTCAATTTTCATCAAAAAACTCCTAAGATGATTTTTTAACATTGATGTAACAGAAAATCATCAAAAGTAATCACTTACTTAATCTTTCGAGAATTTTGCGTCCACCAGGAGTGACAACATCAAGACAATCTTTGTCATCCTCATCCCTTATATCGTACCTGGCCCCAGCGTTTATCAGCAATTTAAGGCACTCAATGTGGCCGTTTTCTGCTGCATAGTGTGTCGCTGTACGTCCCCTTTGATAATCTTTCTTGTTTGGATCACCTAAACAGAGGTATAATGGTCGCAAATGAAAACATATCTCCTTAATATACAAGGTATGAATAAAATCAAAATAGCTTCACATTTTTTTATAGTGTTAGCTGCAGCCATAAAACAAAGATGTGTTTCTCTTAGTGCTCATGAATAATAACAATATGTACAACCTTAATCTGGCAAGCCTAGCATTTTTCTAACAGTGTATTAAGAAGTGCAAATTTAAACTTTTATACATTTTTAAATTTCAAAAACAGTGTGATGTAGCCACTTTGCCTGAAATATTAATTTCTATCACATAAAGCATGGCGCAGGAGTGTAATAAAGCCATTTAAGAACAAGAACTGTCGGAGGACAGTAACACTCTACTATTCGAAAATTTGTCACAAGGGTGTTTCATTGAGTATAATAATGCTTACCTATATGAATACATAAAATTGTCCGAAGGGTACAATCCCTTCAAGTTTCAATACATTCCCTTCAGTAGTTATGGAGATACAAGCTTACACACAAAAACTTAACCAAGAATTTATGAATCGAAAAAGGGGCATAATTATGCGAAAAAGTAAATCAGAGTTGTGGGACTTGTGCCAATCATCTTAGATAATCACAGACAACAAGAGTGTGAAGTTTAGTGTGAAGTTTCAATCCATTCCCTTCAGTAGTTATGGAGATACCAGCTTACACGCAAAAACTTAACCAGAATTTCTAAGTCGAAAAAGGGGCATAATTATGTAAAAAAACAAATCAGAGTTATGGGACTTGTGCAAATCATCTTAGATAATCACAGAGAACAAGTGTGTGAAGTTTCAATCCATTCCCTTCAGTAGTTATGGAGATACCAGCTTACATACAAAAACTTAACCAAGAATTTCTAAGTCGAAAAAGGGGCATAATTATGTAAAAAAGCAAATCAGAGTTATGGAACTTGTGCCAATCATCTTAGATAATCACAGAAAACAAGTGTATGAAGTTTCAATCCATTCCCTTCAGTAGTTATGGAGATACCAGCTTACATACAAAAACTTAACCAAGAATTTCTAAGTCGAAAAAGGGGCATAATTATGTAAAAAAGCAAATCAAAGTTATGGGACTTGTGCCAATCATCTTAGATAATCACAGAGAACAAGTGTGTGAAGTTTCAATCCATTCCCTTCAGTAGTTATGGAGATACCAGCTTACATACAAAAACTTAACCACAGGGACGCCAACGCCGACAAATGGGTGACTGCATTAGCTCGATTATTCTACGAATAGTCGAGCTAAAAACAATATTACACTTATGATATAACACTTTGATGTGAAGTCATTTGCAGAATATACAAATATAGCGTTAAAGGGCGCTTATGTAAGTGTTACACTATACGCGCATCATTGAAAAATCTTTTAACAGTTTACTGTTCTTATCTTATATGTGTGATAAATAGATAAAAGATTAATAAATTTAGTATTAAACCTACACTCATTCAATATAATCTATGTAAGAAATATAGTTATCATATATAATAGACTATTGTTTCTCTTCTTTTTCTCTCTGATATTTAAATTTCATTTAAGTGACAAGTTTATAGTTATACATTATAAAGCATTAAGACAACAGCAAAAAAAAGTATACCACCATCTGGGATTAGTAAAGCATTGTTTGTGTTTTAAATCACATCAACAATGTAAAGAACATACAACTTGATTTGATTTGTTGAATTCTTAAGCTACAAGAAATTATCATGTTTATTTGACTAATGTATGATAAATGATATCAAACACCTGACCTCTTTGTATAGATTAATCATGACAATAGCAGGGAAAATAAATTTGCAATTTATGATAACAGAAAAAAATGATAATTAAGGAAAATTAAAGTGTATAAAGCTACATGAATAATATTTGTTCATAAAATTATTTTTGAATTTTGAAAAAGAATACGTCTACAATATCTGTATAAAAGAACTGTTTCTTTGATATCATAAGAGCCAATGGCCCATTCAAAAAATCACTGCTAAATGGTTGAACCCCTACTTCTAAAAATAATTTTAACATTCATAAATTTTAATAAAAAATATTTCATGAGATATAGCTTTATACCCTTCAAAAATTCTATTCAAGATCAAGATCCAAACCTTTTCTTTGTAATAGCAACTTGAGAATTTCCTTGTCTCCATTATATGCAGCCTCGTGAAGGGGACTCCACATATACACTCCGATCAGATTGGGATCATAACCTTGCTGGAGGGCGATCCTTACATCCTCAATCTGAGAGAACCTCACAGCCTCATGAAGCTTTGTGTCAATTTGTAGTTGACCATCTACCCCACCCATTGCATCTTTTTCTTAGTCTATTGAAACAGTAATTAATATTAATATTAATTTTCACTGATTTATCAAATATGAGTTACTCATTATAAAAAACAGACAATTTAAAACTCACTGGTACCTTAAATACATAATGCAAGTCTGTGACAAGAAAGAGTATTATGTTCCAGTGAAATACTTTAAAGTTGAAATACTATACAGTGACATGCTTATTGATTTATAGCGAATATAATTCAGCTTCACATTTAGAATGTATGACAAAGCGTACCCGTGTGTCAAGCATACCAGGTCAACATGTGCCACCTTTACCTTTTATAGAGAATTGATTTGCTTATCAATTGTGTTTTTGTTTTTATAAACAGACAGATCATTTTTATAAATTGTCAAATGTATATAATATATATTTTATTTTTAAATGTTATTGTACATTACAGAGAATGAAATTAAAATGTGTATTTAAGAAAATAAATAAAAATTTCTGACTTGACATTTCTATATTTATATCCGTATTTATTTATAAAAATATTTTAAAAAATGAATCGACTTGATTAAAATAATTAATCATCAGATCCATATTAACATTTAAGAATTGACAGGTGGTCATATACTATTGTTTCCATTTAACACTGCCCTTCTAACTAGCACCGCCTACCACGTTTTGTGGAAGAAAAATATCTTACCTTTTAGATTTATTATCCATAACAAAAGAGCAATGCAAAATATCCATATGAGCTGCGCCATGACAAAACCAACATAACGGGTTTGCAACCAGCAGATGCGCAGTCTGATCAGGATCCATGCTGGTTGCAAACCCATTATGTTGGTTTTGTCATGGCGCAGCTCATATATTTTATTTGAAAAATTACAACTACTAGTGATCACTCCATTGAATATTTAAATGGAAAATCAGTAAACTTCAACTCTTTTTAGGTTTTTTTAATTGTTTAAAGTCTCCACATTCATAATCTGTACTCTCAGCCGACGAAAATGAGTCATCATCACTCTCAGACAGTACAATCCCATCACCAGCCAAATATTTTCAATTACTTTTTTTGTCGATTACATTGTCTTGATACTGACAGGGCGTCCAGCACCTCAAGGTTTATTTCTTATTTAATTTGATGTGATGGCTATTTTAATATTTCATCTGGCACCATTCACATACACGCTTTCTGTCTAGACCAGATCTTTTGCTGTATGATGTTTACCCTTCTAACCAGCTTGTTTAATAACTTTATTTTGAAAGATGCTGTGTAATAATTTTCTTTTTTGCCGCACCCAGATGTGCCAATCATGTTGATTAGCTACATACAAGAATTAAAATATCAAACGACACATGTATCGCGCTAGCCTCTATTGCATAACGTCATACAAAATAATTAATACTGCAACTTGTTTTAAAGCACCTTTTAAAAGTTCTAATTAGCACCCTCAATTTTATAAAATGGACACCCCAAAGGGGATAAATAGAAACAATACGGTAATTAATGCAAAAGTGTAAAAAATAACAAGTTGTTTGCAGGAAGAATAAATGGGTGATATGCTTCGACTTAAAATGGCAAGCTTTGGTATCTGTACTCTTATGCTTCGCCTTGCATCCTCATGTTATGATTGGCATCTACAATAATGCAAAATATGTCACGCTGGTTATATGTCAACAGTTTTGTGGTGATCTTTGAAAATCGTTTTTAATTAAGGTAACAAAAAATAATACTGTCATTTTCATTAATGATCATGATGTAAACAATCTGTACCCCACCCACTTGAACTCATATTGATAATGAAAATAGTCATAGCATAACTTACAATACATTGCAAAACAAGATATTCCAAATAATTAGCATTCAAATTGAAAACGAAAACATAAATCACGTAAGAGATTCTACTCTGGTTGAATCATTTTACTTGAATATAGTTGTCTAATCCGTTAACTTCTTTGCTAATTGACACATCGCACTTGCTGTTGCCACAGACGCCATTTCCTAAATATCGCGTACAAAGTATCGTGAGATTTGGGAATTGTGGGAAATCAATGGCTGCCTTGTGCAAGTTGTGGTTTGCAGATTTCTAAATTGTCGCCGACAAACCTAATTTTGTCTGTTTTTGCAAAACATTTACCTGATTTTGTGTTGCCAGATGATTTATCTGCACTCATGATCAAGTATATTGTTATGGGCTTGCGAGGATTTTTTGTACTGGCTGCTAAGATATGGAGTTTCATATGCTACTGTTTCAAACGTCAAATTCGCTCGGTATGTAAATAAACACGAAACTATGCATGACAACAATCATGAGCTGTGTCTCACAGCTGTACACACAAATGTTGGTATATCATGATATTTTTCCTACTTATGAAAATGTGGGGATCGTTTTAGTTAAACAGGAAATAATAAAATTTAGAACCGAAAGTTGACTTAAACTAGATCTAAAAGAGTTGATAAAAATAGAGATGAGTCAATAAATATTAAAAATTAAATTCTCCTAAAGAGTTGTATTATTTTCTTAACAGATCATTCGTCTTTTATTTTAGAGAAACACAATTTAAATGACATAAAACACAATCTTTAACTATTTTTGTTCTTTGTGGAAATTTCCTTACAAGTGTCTCTATTCACACCTAGGTTCTGTCGGCACTATCTAATATATCTATCTTCCTCTTATGTCAAACCACTAGCGGGGACATAGGCATGTCTGCACGTCTAAATTGCAAAAGTTAAAAAGAGAATAAAAGAAGATTAAATATGTTACTGTTAAAAACATGGTGCTGGAAAACTAGGGTGTTCCCTGCAAGCTATGACTGCACTGAACTGCTCTGGGGTGTGTGACATCCAGTCCTTCTTTATGTACATCATGTGAGTTCCAACGTCAGAGTTTTTGCAGTTTCTCAATCTGACTTCCAAATTTTGAAACTTAATGGAAGCCCAGTAAAGTTCATTCTGCAACAACATAACAAGGGATCAAACAAAAGAAATAGCACCTTATCCCAACTGGATTGCAGTTCTGACCACCTGTCACAGAACTTGTTTTAGTACTACTCAAAAACTGCTAATGTAATTTAATCTAAACCATTTACAGGAATGATCAAAGTTTGAATGTGCTACTCATAAGAGTAAAATGAAATTTAAATACTACTAATGTTATTTGTAACTTGACTTGATTCAAGTTCTGGGGCATAATTAAGGGTTTTTCGGTTGAATAATTTTTAGCCAAGTTATGGCCCTTGAATAAAAAAATGCGTTTTTGCATTCAACAAATTTAAGATTTTGAATTTACATTTGACTGGCTGGAATTCCAGTTTTGAATTTATTCTACTTCTAACTAAATTTTCTTAAAATTTACACTGGCCTGAACTAATTTACACTGGCCATGGGCCACCGGGCCAGTGCTAAATTCAATGACTGTTTTGCTCATTTATAATGATTTTGTTTGTCTGCTAGATTATAGGAGCTGCAACGTGCTACAAATATACAATTACCCCTCAATACAACTGCTTGATTGGCTATCATCAGATGATACATGTGATAGCTGTCAGAATACTCTTATAAATAAATGTGATACAAGTAGCCTGGCAATCTGTAGGCCCATTTCTTTGCCATGTTATCCTTGTAAAGTATAGTGGGATACATTGTGGCAACAACCATTACACAGCATTTTAAGGTCAACAATGTTTTATTTGACCTCCAACATGGATTCAGCCTCAATTTCATTGTAGGTCAAAAAGTCCTGCAAATACAATTATTAGGACTTTTTGAGGATCTACATTTATCAAGGAATTTAATTCAAGCTCAACAAAAAGAATAATATTTCTCATTTTTTTATAAAAATTTGATAAGATTAATCACTTAAAGTTACTATACAAATTTCACCAGCATCACATCCAACACTGCATTCTTCATTGTGTCTGTATAATCTTTCCTCCTACAGTTGGTCACAAACAGTCTAATGCTGCCCAAAAAATCAAACTGTTTTACCTTCTGATTAGATTTGTTGTTTCTTAAAAGAAATGACAGGTTATATGATCAATTATACAAATGAATAAATTTTGAAAGTCACATGTAAAAATATTGTTTTTTAATTTCATAAATTGCTTAAAATGTCATATATTTTTTTTTTCGGATTCAGGGACCTTGTCTTAAAATAGCTAAGAAAATTCAAGTTTTCAACCAGTTTGGATTAGGGGCATTGAGGTGTGACCTGTCATTTAGACTGTATTTTCTGTCTTTTTAAATAGTTTCTGACTGTTCACCTTATGTCAAGTACATGTGACTTGTGGCTAAATTCTTCTGCACATGCCTCCCAGTTATAGTCAGATAATCAGACTTGATTGCTCAGGAGTATCATGTAGATGTAGATATCTCTAAAAATAAGTCTTCCGCAACTAAGAGTAAGATGTTTTGTCACTGCAATGATTAAAAACATTTGGCACAGTTTTGTTACATTTGTTGTAATGAAGATGTTTTATTCCATTTTACAAAAGTCCAATGATATTTATATCTTTTCTTCTATTTTCAGGTTATACAACATCAAACAGTAAAATATGAAGTTATACCGTTATCACCTCTATCTAAGCATAGACTTAGTAAGTTGTCATATTTACTAATATTGAAATTTAACAAACAATTATACATGTAATAAGAATAAACTTTTACAAGTTTTGTAAATCTGATGGTATATACTCATTATTTACTGTAGGGGCACTGCACATAAATACTCAGCAGCTGGTATTACTGGGAAAGTTACGACTGATTTCATGGGTGCACGTTTTCAGGCATATGCCTGAAGCTCAGGTTTTTTGTGACAAATTTCATCATGTTTTACTATTGGATAATGTAGGAAAATGATTATGAATACATGTAAAGGTTTTCAGGTTTTTCCAAATTTTTAACTTGCACCCATGTGAATTGTGTACCTTTTCAAACCAAATAAAATTAAAGTAAATTAACAATTTTGGTCAGTATTATACACATACATACTTGTTTTTTGTTAAGCGATAAATTATGCTAACAATTTAAAGTAATTTTTTCAGGTATGCTTAGAAGAAAGACATTAGTATTAGATTTAGATGAGACGTTAATACATTCACATCATGATGGAGTTATACGACAGACTGTTAAACCAGGGACACCTCCAGATTTTGTATTAAAGGTAAGACTTTTTTAAGTGGCGGCATATTTTTTATACAAAACACAAAATGTTCCTATAATTGAATTCCAAAAATAGCCTTAGATAAATTGAAGATATCAATTGATGTAAAGGTACAGTTTACGTCTTAAAGTAAAGGAATGATTCGGAAGGAGAAAAGAGCTAGTTGTTTTTGCTGCTGCTTATTGTGACATTTTCTTAGATATAACCTAAAATTAATCTCTGCCTCTAGAATAAAGCTAGCTCACATAATTATGGTGATACACTGACTAGACCTCCTTAAAACCTCAATTGTCCTTAGATACAAAATCTGCTATAAATAAGCCTTTGTATAGACATCATAGCCATAATATTTTAATGGTCCTATTTCAGCCTGTTCCCATACTGGTATGTGTGACACATTGACAAATAATAATGTAATATTGACCATAATATTATAAATATCTTATCAATTAATAAGCATAAGTGTTTGGGGCTTTACTACCCATTTAGAGGTAGGAATGATTAAATGGCTGAGTTTTAACCCTTTGTGCCTCACTGTGTGTTTCACTATGCTCAAATTCTGCCAAAAACTTTGCCTTCTTTCATTTTATAAAGCTATCCAGTTACAGTAAATTTAAATTATGATGGATATTTCTGATAGGGTGTCTTATTTGTACATGTCTTGTTGGCGGCACTTACATATCTTGTGGGCTCCTGAGTACCCAAAGGTTTTCCTTCACTGGTTAAGCTTGAAAGTTAATTATTTTGAATTTTTATTGTTGTATATATTCAAGGTTATGATAGACAGACATCCTGTGAGATTTTTTGTACACAAACGACCACATGTAGATTATTTTCTGGAAGTTGTAAGTACTGTTACTTCTGTATTATATTAATTATAATGATCACTAGATTACTGTACTTTTTCCAACTAGATCAATAAGCAGACATAGTTTACAATTTTTGTTGACGTGACAACCTTATATTGTGTTGTCATTGTCAGATTGTACTGTGCTCTTCCTTTCTTACTGTTTGATGGAATCCAAGAGCTTATTTTCATATTAATTTAAACTGTCCAGCCACTTGGTTCAATAAGGATAACATCCAACTATTGAAATAGTTGGATTTTTTGAAGAGGCAAAATTTCTTTGTTACATTTGATCTGGGATATTGAGTCAAATGGTCATTTGTTTATCACTTCTACTGAAAACATGTTGGATTTGGAATTTATTCAGTTGCGGATAATTTTATTGGTTACTGGTCAATTACCCAGGAAAGTTGGTTAGATGGAATTGGGTGTGCAGATAAACATTGTATGACCAAAAAATGTTGAAGTCAGTATAAAAACCAGACAAACATATTGAATATAAATGGTAAATTCTGCTACAGAATCCAGGAACATTGGTTAAATAATTGCATTTTTGTTTATATTTAAGAGTAATATATATGTAATACAACCATATATATTTTATAACAGATTTTGTTTGTATTGTAGGTGAGTCAGTGGTATGATTTAGTTGTATTTACAGCCTCTATGGAGATATATGGGGCAGCAGTTGCTGATAAACTCGATAATAACAGAGGAATATTAAATAGACGATATTATAGGCAGGTTAGTATCATTGACAAGTGTTCATAGGTCTTTGCTGACCAAGATCCATTCAGTAGTGACGGCATGGCTGAATGGTTAGCGCCTCGGACTAGAAATCTAATAATAGTTAGCTGCATGGGTTCAAACCCCGTGAGGGGCAATTTTTTGTTTCCTTGTGCAAGAAACTTTACACTCATTGCTCAGTACCGGTTGGTTCCAGGAACAGATTCTAATGTGTGTCTATCAGCTTCTAGCTTCTTGCTCAATGGCACTAAAATAAATTCTGTATAAATTAAGATCCATTTCTGTTACAAAATTTCCTTAAACCTGGTAAAGATTTAACACACAACATTGTTATAAAAGTTTGCTCTTGCAAGGAAGTATAAGTGCGTATTGTTATGCTACCCAGTTTTACTAGTATGAATTTTCTTTGATTTTTTTCCCCTTTTGTGAATTAAAAAAAAGTACTACATGGCACTTGTTTCACTGTCTATCACTGAGACTTAATGAGGACTCCAATGTGAAAATTCCTTGCTGCAGATATCTGAGATTTATAGTTATCATGTGGACATAAAATAATATACTTTGTTCTGTCATTACAAACCTCATCTACAAAAATGTCATTGACGGATTCAGAAGCAATGATTTTTCAAGGTTAGCAAAAGTGATATTGATATGAACATGCAATTGTTAACTTTGAATCATAGTGATATATGAGCTGCGCCATGACAAAACCAAAGCAATGGTTTTGCAACCAGCATGGACCCAGACCAGCCTGTGCATCTGTGCGGTCTGATCTGATGTTTGAAATCAGTTTCTCTACTTGTAACAGGGTTTGTATGCAAAGGCTGGTCTGGATTCATGCTGGTTGCAAACGCACTATGTTGGTTTTGTAATGGTGTGGCTCATATGTACACGGGATTAAAAATGTCATTTCAGAACTAATTAATGTTTGCAATTGTATTCTGATGGTTACAAGTGGATATAATATAATTTAATGCTAGTTTCAGTATGTTTTTTTTCAACATCTTTGATCAGAGGTATCTAATCTGGTCTAGAATTTTGAAATTTCATAGTATGAATTATTGATATTTACAGCCGACAAATATACATGTATAAAGTTGATGTTATGTGATATTTACAGCATTGTAATTTAGCAGCGGGTAGTTACACTAAAGATCTCTCTGCCATTAACCGTGACCTCTCCAGTATATTTATACTAGATAATTCACCTGTGGCATACAGAGCTTATCCAGGTAATATCACTCTCTCATTTTGTATATGACTTGTATCAAAACATAGTAAGACTATTCTAACCCTCAGTATCTTAAATAGACCTGTCCATCTTTCATTCTCATTATTTACAGGGATAATTTCAAAATATGTACTGACTGAATAGTGAACAGTGCCGACCATGACCAGACAGCAAAGATGTGAAGGTTAATCTTGGTCTGCACTGATCATATGGATGACTGCTAATTTACATGTATTACTGGTAATTTACATGGATTGCTGGTAATTTACATGGATTACTGGTAATTTATATGTATTACTGGTTATTAACATGTATTACTGGTAATTTATATGGATTACTGGTAATTTACATGGATTTCTGGTAATTTATATGGATTACTTATAATTTGCATGGATTATTGGTAATTTACATGGATAACTGGTAATTTACATGGATCACTGATGATTAATATGGATTACTGGTAATTTACATGGATTACTGATAATTTACATGGATTACTGATAATTTATATGGATTACTGGTAATTTACATGGATTACTGATAATTTACATGGATTACCGATAATTTATATGGATTACTGGTGATTTACATGGATTACTGATAATTTACATGGGTTACTGGTAATTTACATGGATTACTGATAATTTACATGGATTACTGATAATTTACATGGGTTACTGGTAATTTACATGGATTACTGATAATTTATATGGGTTACTGGTAATTAACATGGATTACTGATAATTTATATGGATTACTGGTAATTTACATGGATTACTGATAATTTACATGGGTTACTGGTAATTTACATGGATTACTGATAATTTACATGGATTACTGATAATTTACATGGGTTACTGGTAATTTACATGGATTACTGATAATTTACATGGATTACTGATAATTTACATGGATTACTGGTAATTTACATGGATTACTGGTAATTTACATGGATTACTGGTTATTTAATGTTATGTCTCCTTGTTTTTGTGTAAAATTGTTGTCAAACCAAATAAAGCTGTTTTAACTTTAATGTGTCCTATAATTTATATTTTGTGTAAGACTTGGAGAACAAACAAAATGCATGTACATTTGCAGTATATTATGCTCATAATTTATATTGATGTTGACATATTGATGTTGAAATATGACTGTTGGCATTGAGCTTTAAATGACCTTGACTGTCAAGGTCAAAGTATTAAATTTTGGTTAAGTTGTCATAATTTTGTTATTTATGTACGGTTTTAATTCATATTTGGACAAAACGACACTTGTGACCAAAGAGACATGTGGAATAATTTAGAAATGACCTTAACCTTTAAATGACCTTGATTTTCAAATGATTACATTTTGATTATATTTTCTAAACTTTGTCATTTATTTATGGAAAGTGGCTCTTGTTGGGGATATTAAAATGAAAATTTGAAATTGGTCAGTCAAGGTTACTATTTGGCAATTTAATACATTTCAGGACATAAATGGTGATATGTCTGGGGTCTCTACTCTCAGTGCCTGAAAAGGTGCATGGAGCCCCTTATTAAACTTAAAACACACACATGTTGGTCAGTCAACAGTATAGGGCCTGGTCAGATTTCATGGATGTAGAAGCTGGCCCGGCTATTCACTGGCAGTAAAGGTTTATAACTTGAGATTTCAGCAGATTAACCCTTAGCATTCTGAAACCGAAAGTGATTAACTTTTACCACCAATATCTATGCAGTCTGACCTGGCTTTATACTGTTGGTAGTTTAGTTTTTGTACTTTTACGTTGATGTTTTTCAATGAACTGTTACAAATTATGTAACATATATTCTGCATGTTAAGGAATAAAAAAAAAACACCAGTATAATATTTGATAATGTTTATATTTCAGATAATGCTATACCAATCACGTCATGGTTTAGTGATGCAACAGATACTTGTTTATTATGTTTATTACCGCTGCTGGACTCTCTACGATTCTGTAACGATGTACGTTCTGTCCTCAGCAGGAACTTACACAAAGTTGTAGTATATTAGTTTAACACTCAGATACCATTATATACAGACAGTATCATACGATCATCTAATTAATCATGTGTCATTATTAAATGAGCCATGTCACGACAAAACCAACATAGTGTGTTTGCTACCAGCATGGATCCAGACCAGCCTGCGCATCCGCGCAGTCTGATCAGGATCCATGCTGTTCGCTAACAGTTTCTCTACTTGTAATAGGATTTATAAGCGAACAGCATGGATCCTGATTAGACTGCGCGGATGCTCAGGCTGGTCTGGATCCGTGCTGGTCGCAAACCATCATGTTGCTTTTGTCGTGACGCAGCTCATATATTGAAACAGTCAAGAATTATGTTTGTTAGAATCACTGTTTTATTTACATAAACTTTCATATCTCTGCTAAGAACATCATTTTTATTCTGTTAAAAAAAGTGTATGTTTAATAATTTTATATTCATATTCGGTCACTTCAGGTGCAAAAAGAGTTTAATTTTATATTCGTCTACCAATCAACCCTACTTGGATGTCACAAATATTTGGTAAAATGTATATTTGTGTTGAAAATAATTCTGTTGAAATAACAATATGAGGCTATTTTTATGCTGTCAACATACTCCAGCAAGTTGAGATCTTGTTTATTCTGCATAACAATAGCTCTAGATAAATAACATATTTATATTTGTAAAACTATTACTGTAGTTGTGCCGGGATTATTCTGTAACAACAATACTGAAGAAGTGTGTATCAGACTTGGAAAATATGATAGATTTAAAAAAAGTTTTTAGAAATATTTGTACATGCAGGTATATCTATAAATGTGAATAGTTTTTACAGCATAAAAAATGTATTGACAGAATTTCTTTTGTTTTTCTTCGTTTGTATTGACATAATTTGAAATTATGTTCTAGACATAAAGACATGTTATTCCATGCATAATTTATGTATACAGTTTGAATATTTTATTTTGGAGTTATTTTTGACAATAATTTACAGGTTTTCCAAAAAAAGAAAATATGTAATACCAATGAAAAATGGGTTTATGTAAAAAAAATCAGTGATTGTCTATGATTGATATGTTTTTGTTACCCACTGACCTCATTACTGGTTCCAGGGAGAAATGAATGCCAGCCATTGGTTGATTCAAATTAATCACCAACCAATCAAATGCTTGTGTTTGAGAACAGTTTTGCATCTAAAAATTTGTAGGATTCATTTTCGTTCCTTTAAATTGCAAAATACCTTAAAATATGAAGATCATTTAAGAAACATAGATGTTAATCAGTAGAGATTATGTACAGTACAATCTGTGCAGAACAAGACCCTTTTAGAGGCAACAGTTTTGGTTGCTGCTAAGAGACCATTCTCTAGAGAGAGAAAATTTGTCCTGGTTGTTGTCAATGGGTTATTGCTTTGCAGAGGTTGCAGTGTAAACTTGAAATTTGTTGTTACATAATTGTTATTATTTCACCATTATAAAGGCAGCTGTGCATTGGGTATGCTGCACACAATTTTATTATTTACATTAGTTTGTTCTAGAAACTTCAAATATCATACTTTGCTGCTTTCAGATTTTATATTTATTTCACTCCTCAGATTGATAAGAAAAATTGAAATTAAGTTTTATTTTTATTGGAGAAAATAATTATTATGACTATTTAGAAATAATTTTGTGTATCTCTTCTTTATTTAAAAAATTGGCTTGGTCTTGAAGTTTAGTATTGATACATATATTTTATTGCAACATTACAAGAATAGTTAACATAAACTGAACAAAGTTCAAATTTAATTTAAGACATTCTGTAAAATCTGTTTAATTCTCATCATTTTGTAAATTTTACATACAAAATATAAGTTTAAAAGCAGCAAAATATCATATTTTTACTAACATAAATGCACCCCCCTAGTGCTAAGCAGAAAAAATACTTTCTTGCTGGGTTTTTTTTGTACAGATTTTTTTTTGTGGTTATTTTTTATGTGTAAAGATTATTTGAGCCGCATAACGACAAAACCAACATAATGGGTTTGCGACCAGCATGGTTCCAGACCAGCCTGCGCATCCGAGCAGTCTGATCAGGATCCATGCTGTTCGCTTACCAACCCTATTACAAGTAGAGAAACTGATAGCGAACAGCATGGATCCTGATCAGACTGTGCGGATGCGCAGGCTGGTCTGGATCCATGCTGGTCGCAAAAGCACTATGTTGGTTTTGTCGTGACGCGGCTCATTTGATAATTAAAACATTAGCAAATATTATACACAAAATGATTAAACTTGTACATATTTGATAAGTGCTTTTTTTCAACAGTTCATCAGGATAACTCACTTTGCATAAGATGTTGTTGTTTTTGTTGTTTTTTGTTTTTTTACTTTGTAACTATTATCATGAGAAATGTAAAGTTTATAGAAATAGTGATATTGATAGGTCTCACACAGTTCTGTATGAAATAGAAATGTATAAAACATTTTGATACCTATGAAATTAATGTATGTGTTAAATTTGATAAAGCCTTCTTTGTAATTAAATAAATAGAATGAAATAAGGGGAGGTAAATGATGTATGAAATTCACAGGGTTGGGAGTTGGGGTAATTATTTTATAGAGTTAAATTTATTTGTACATTAAATCACCCATATTTTCCCATTACCATGGTTACCTAGATAATCTACCTAATCTTGTACCCAGTACATACTGTATGTAGCTGTATCATTACTAGAACAAGGTTATTCCCTGAATGTTTACACTGATTTTTATGACAAATATATTAACCCTTAACCTACTGGATGTCTTATATGGGCTTTTCCAGCATCCATTTTTTTTTGGAACTGTCCATAGCTGGTCAAACAACAGTGAAGAGCCTGGTTGCAGACTGTAGGGATGTGCCTTGGCTCTATCCTGGTGGCAAAGGCTACATAACTTTTGGATCCAGCAGGTTATGGGTTAAAAACAGAGTTACTCAGTGAATGCTTACTTGTATTGTTAAATTTTGATAAACTGGAACAATAGTTTGTATTATCCCATTGTAAGGTAAAGATAGGACATTACTTAAAGCAATAGATATACACCTCATGTAACTTAAACCATGATATTTCTATAACAGAACTTTAACTTTTATTTTAACCAGAAAAATGTAAGTTATTTAGTTACCAGATTTCTAAGTAATTCCCTGTTTAGTGACTGAAGTTCAAAATGGCCACTGTAAAATGATCAATTTTTCTTCTTCATTTTATAGGTGATAAAGATAAGGATCAAATTTGGATGTTTATCTGAATGTTATTTAACTCACAATTATATGTATCAAATGAAAGTCTTTTGTTATTAGGTTTGTCTAGTTACATCTCATTATTGACTGTTTAATTCCATCAGTCCATGAAATAGCATTTCAAATGTTTTGTTGTTACGAAATATGCAGCAATTTCATACATGTAATAGGCTACGCCATTTTACAATTTCTAGCTGACCCACCTACATATTACAGATCTTGTTGTTTATTTATAGTCAGACAAATGTTTTAACTTAATCAGTGACTGTATCTTATAAGTAATGAGTTTAAGATAGGAATGGTAGTATGACATCTAGTACATGTACATGGCATTTGTGAGGATTTAACAGTGTGATTTTTGACGGGTGGTTTAGTAAGATTAACACCACAGATAAGGAAGTAACGGCAAATGTTTAATGTAGGGAAAGTGCAAGCTGTAGAGGAGGAAAAATTAATGGTGATAATTCTAAATGTAATTTTCTCCCACCTGTTATAGGCTGATATCAATACTTAAAAAAAAACTCTACCAGTTTTACATTTTGACTTTAATAAACAAAAAATGAGGGAAAATCCTGAAGATAAACTTACTTTTTCTGAACTTTCTGTGACGATTTATTTATAGATATATGTGTGAATTTCAAATTTAGTCTAATGTTTTTAGTTAACTAGTAATTATAATTGTTAAAATGATTATATTTGTCACTAAACTATAATAGTGTGAAAAAATGCAAATAAGTCTTGTATTCTGGTATAGAAGATAATGAGTGGTAAAAAAATTTATATGATGGGAAAACAACTCTTTTAGCAAAGAATGTTTGTGATATAGAAGCGTACTGTTATGTATAAGACATTTGAATGTTAGAATAAGAGAATTGAAGTATCACATCTAAATGATATGTATATTATAAGGAAATAATGTAGATGTTTTGTTTGGTTTAGTACAGTACATTTATACATGTAGATTCTGTGGTCACATACATGTAGTTGCTGCTATTGTTGTTGTTGTTGTTGTTGCTAAGAGACATGTTTTGGTCATGCCCAGCTTTTCTGTGGAGATAAAATCATATAGCTTATTACTTACAACAGCAGGCATGAAGTGGTGTGAGACAGCTTTAATATGTTGCCCCCATACTTCTCCTTGTTGTTATATTTTTCTCGTCCCTTATGGAGCATTGGTATTTTTTTCTCGTCCCTTATGGAGCATTGGTCTCAATACTTACAGTGTCAAGGATCAAGTATGACTTTTTTAATCTGGAGATGTGAAAGATGTTGCATAATGTGGCATAAAATTGACTCAATAAAAGCAAACCTACAATTCTCCATCTCATCTATCAATGTTACAGGTCTTTTCTTTACAGAAATTTGTTTATTATAAAGGTAATTATGAAAATCAACATTTATTTCATAAAGTTTTTCTTTAAACAAAATTGTGTCAGTCTTACTGAAGATACTCCATCCATTTAAAAATCTTCAATAGATTCACTCAACTTAGATAACACTTTAATTGAACATACTTCTTTTAGCTTTTACGAGATTAAGCTGACGGCATATTTGAACCTTTTATCTGTCCATGTCCTAGAAGTTCTGGAACTTAACATTACAGATGTGGTATGATAAAACAAAGTTGTGACCCAGTAGGGATCCAAACAGTGATCGCTAAGTTGAAAGACAGACGCTTTAACCACAAGACCACATTTACGCTTAATAACATACATACTATAATGAGGAAAGCACTGACCCCTCTGATCACAGTGACATGAAGGTTGTTATCAAATGATTTTGAGAAAAATAGAAAGAAATGATATAAGGGTAATTCTGATATTAAACCTTAACCTGCTGGAACCCAAAGTAATCAGCCTTTGCCATCAATCTATGGCCAGGTCAGCCTGCACATCCTTGCTTTTATACTAGGCT